GTTGGGCATTCCTACTTCCGTAGTGATACTGCCTCGGAAACCCAAGGAGGGGTCGCTATGAGTCGGGGCCGACTCGACGGCACATAACAACAACAACAATGAGGTTGAACATCTTTTTGTGTATATTGTGTTCGTTTTGGATTGCTTTCTATGAAAAGCTGGTTTCATGTAAAAAAGTGTGATGGCATCATCTGAGCTCCTCTCACTTCAGGAGGGAGGAGGAGAATCATTATCAGCGTCAACCACTCTCTGCTGATCTCTGTGACACAGAGGTCAGACATACCACCTTTCTTCAGCCTTTTTTTTTTGCAAGTTCTGGCACCAGTCCTTCCCATGGCACTCTTGACTTCTCTGCCTGAGTTCGCTAATCCATTGCAGTGACCACACAAACCTCACAGACAGTGTTCTTGATTATGGGATTTGTTAGGGAAGTAACAGGTTACAATTCAGGATCAGAAACAGTTCAAGATACAGTTCCTCAGTCAGGACAGTTTCTCAGCCATGTCCACAGGCATGCCTCCCTGGCTCTCAGCCTCATCCCTGCAGCCTTTCAACTTTTGCCCTGCTTGGCAAGGGTGGCAGAGCTCGTCAGTGCTGCTGTCAAGTGCCCAGAGCCGCTCCACTCCGTCAGCAAGCCTTCTGCCTGCAGGCGCTCAGCTCAACCAAGTGCCCAGAAGCGCCCTTCTCTGCAAGCAGGCCTCCTGCCCCAGAGTGCTCGGCTTTCTCACTCCACGGCCAGAAGCCCAACGCACCTGCTGCTGGCTTCCTGGTTCTGCTTCCTCTGCAGCCACCGTTTCTTTGCCACCGCTCCTTACCATCACGGGCGTGACAGCTCCTGCGCTGTCTCTGTGGTCTAGGAGTTCTTCAGCACAAGGATCCTGGGTCCAAAGGATGCATTCCACTTCTGACTCTTCTTTCTTGATAGTTGTGGGGTCCCTCTTTCCACCTCTGGGAGGCTCATTTTAAGCTTGTCAGGATGGCAAAACTGACCAATCCCCTAGTTAGGGTTCCATACACCATACTTGGATGGTCCTATTCCTAATGGGTGCTGTGTGTTTTATTTACATTCTTAGGAAGCTTTCTTTGGTGGGCCATAAACAACTCATTTGCATAACCACACCCAGTTCTTGGTGGGAGTTACAAAGACTGGTTAGAAGAACCATAATAAGTCACTCCACTGCACATGTCTTCTTCCCATGTTATATTAGATTGTCTTTCTCTTGACTGATTCTTTTAAGGAATTTTTTTAAAAAACAGATTGTGGATACTGATCTGTTTTTGCTAGTAGATGATACAGACATTTCAGTTTGTGGCTTGCTTTTTTCACCTTTTGTAGGTCTTGAAAGAGCAGTTTTAAATTTCTTTTCAGCTTTTTAATATGAAAATTTTCATACATTATAGAAATACTGAAAAAATACTATGATGAACACCTATGTACATCTGTCTAGATTCTAGATTTGTGGTAGGAGCTCTAGTGGTGTAGTGCCTAAGGCATTTGAGTGCTAACCAAAAGGCTGGCAGTTCAAACCCACCAGCCATCCTCAGAAGGAAGGTTGGGCAATCTACTTCCACAGTCACTGCCTCGGAAACCCAAGGAGGGGTTGCTGTGAGTTGGATCCGACTTGATGGCATTGAGTTGAGTTGTGTTGAGATTTGTGGTAGATATGGTTATGTGTCAACCTGGCTGGGCCTGGTTTTGAGTGGTTGGGCAGCTGGTTGTAGTTATTCCCAATGGTGAAACTGGCAGTCATCTCCATGGTGGAATCTGCTATGAGCAGCTGGGTAGCTGCTTTAAGGATGTGGTCAGCTTCCCATATATAAGGAGAAGCTTTGGGAAGGGTCTGCAGCTTTTGGCATGTTTGAATCCTGCATGTAGCCAAGTCATTATTCAGCAGCCTGCCATTTTGTCTGCCAATAATTGGACTCTTAATGACTTGTATCAATGGCCTGCCACATGTGTGGTTTGGTTATATCAGGACTATGCCTTTTTACTTGTCAACCTTGGGTTTGTCAGCCTCAGCAGCCAGCAGCTTCCTGAGTGAAGAAAGCTTCCAGCTTCAGTGGGCCTGGAGCAAGAGGCAGAGCTGAAGCCCAAGGTCGAGGTACTTTCACCCAGCCCCTAGAGCCTGGCACTTTGAACTCAGACTTCTAGCCTCCAAAACTGTAAGAGAATAAACTCCTGCTTGTTAAAGCCATCCTGTTTGTGGTATTTTCTGTTAGAGCAGCGTGAAGTAACCAAAACAAGATTCA